GACATAAATCATTTCTCGGTCATTAAACTACTTTAAGTATATTTAAAAAAATATTTAGTAATATCCATTAAAATTCTATATTGCCAAGTCCAGCCAGTTGGTACTTAAGCTTTTCTCGGACAATTTAATCACTGTGTGGAAACCCATGCTCAACGCTCAGCATAAAGCGACAGTAGCTCACGCTAATAGTATGGATGCACTAATTAGGTTTCACGTAGTTACGTGGTTAGAAAAGATGTAGGGTTCTACGTGTTAGCCTCAAATTAATGGATACTATTCACCACTACTACACGAATAAGGTTCTTACCGAGAGGGTGTACCTCAACTCCTATTAAGATCGAATATCTGGAGATAACACAACACAGCAATATCGGTTCTCGACGAAGGATCATGTTGAAGCTGGTAGCCGTTCGTCACGTTGAATTGTCTGTAGCCTGTACAGCACTTCAGCCGCAGTCGGTCGGTCTTTCGGGGCCAAGGAAACACACGCATTCCCCAGATCGACCATCGACGCCAATGCGTCGCACGAAAACTGGACACGCAACTTCCCCATTGCCATCCGCTGGAGAATCGCCAAGTCACGCATACGGTGGCCTGATCCATCGCTGTCAGTGGCATGAGAGTAAGGCAGAACCTGCAGATCCAGTTCCGACAACACTACCCCGAACGAGAAAATATCGGCCTTGTCGTCGTACCGTTCTCCCATGAGAACTTCCGGTGCCATCCACAACGACGTACCCACTCCAGCCGTCATCGTATGGTCTACACGTTCGCGAGACACACCGAAGTCCGTCAACTTGGCATCTAGATCCGATGTGAGTAGAATATTCCTCGACTTGAGATCGCGATGGATCACTACAGGACTCAAGGAATGGAGATATGTGAGAGCGTGCGCAACATGCAGAGCGATCTTCACTTTGTCACAGTCGAAGCCAACGGGATGGTGGTGATTATGATACGACGTGAGCAGTCCTCTCAAATCCCCACCATCCATGAACTCAATAATGGCACAAACATCACTAAGCGCATCCCACGCGACACCCACGAATTGAACAATACGTGAGTGGTCAAGTGATGCCATTAGTTTGACTTCAGCCAAGAAGTTGTTGACGTGGGCGACGCTCTTGCGGTGTGCTGGCAACATCCTCTTAACTGCGACTGAGAGTCCGTTGAAAGTTCCTTTGTACACCTCCCCGTACCCTCCTTGACTGATCAGGTTATCCATGAGAATCTTGTCTTTTGGAATTCGCGCTGTCGTTATCACATCGTCATCCCAAAGGTTCACTTTGCTACCTGGACGCTTATGTTGATGCTTCGATGTGGCTTTGTTATTGCTTGCTACGGGGGTCTGGTGGCATTCATATTGTCCGTTGACGTTGCGAGACCCATCATCTTCCAAGCATGCAAAGTTACCTTGTTTGGCAAGTAGTCCGTGTTTCGATTTGATCCACCAAATGAATAAGGCTAGTCCAAGCTCAAGAGCGACGCATCCGATGACTAAGATATGGGCAGCAATTATCGGAGCGTTCACATCTACTCGCGGGTAGGAGTGTCCATAATACGAGCAATCGCAGACTTTCCGGTCTGTCGATCGTTCGAATTCAAGGATAGTAAAAATGATTGCGAGAATGCAACTACACAGTGCAGCAACGCGTGCAATAATTCCGATGATAGTGCCATAAACTGGTAAACAATTGATGGAGATACGAGTGATGATGGAGACGATGAGGCATCCGACGGTGATAACCCAGATCGCATCGCTTTCAAGAACGTCGCGAAATGAGAGCAATACAGCGGAACCCGCGAATCCGAAAACCAGGGAAACAGATCCAGCAATCCCGATCACGATATCCACAGTGTCAGAAACTTTTCTTGGCATGTCCAGGTGTGGATTTCGAGGTGATATCGAAAATGATCCTGCTCTTACCGAAGGCTCAACGGGTACACAACCTGGGGCATAGAGTTCATGAGCGCACCCATCGGTTGATTCTTGTAACGCTGATGGGTACGCACTTTGAGGCGCTTGAGTAGTGTACCCTTGCCGTTGAAAACGCCGGTTCATGTCTGTTATCACTTGGAAACTCACAATAACGGACACTGAATGCTACAGCAGATCATGATGCCGAGTTTTTTTTTTATAAGTATTGATTTCGCGAACACAATTACAAGTAACTAAACGCGTTGATGTGATCACAACGATTTCGCGAACACAATTACAAGTAACTAAACGCGTTGATGTGATCACAACGATTTCGCGAACACAATTACAAGTAACTAAACGCGTTGATGTGATCACAACGATTTCGCGAAAGAGAACTTTGGATTACAATGTCGTTTGGAATGAATTTTAATACTGGGAGCAAATCGTAGTTATGAAAAATCCATTCTTTCTTTCGCGATCAACGGAACCATCCATTTAGTAGCTTTTCCAACCGAGGTACAGGTTGTCGAACCGTTGCACCAGGGAACACTTAATGTAGAATACGTCCTTTTGGTCCAGAGACCCGAGCCTACTTGTTGGGTTATCACTCACACAGCCGCGAGGCGAAAAGTTTTTTGAATTGCATAACTGTCCAATCAAAATCAGTTAGGTTTAGGTTTAGCGTGTATTTCCGGAACTGTCCGGTATGAATGCGACCATGAAATAATGTACTATACTTAAACATCACATTTACTCGATATTATCGAATAAGTGCCGCCTGTACCGGAGATAACTTCTATCTGGGCGCTATCGCATCGTAGTACATATATAAAAAGCGGATCTTGCTCGAGGGGGCTCTCCGGATTAGCAGTCTCAAAAAAAAAAAAAAGATGAGGAGAGCTTCGCGAGGGCTTGACACACCGGCTGGCACAATAGGCCAAGAGGTTGCGGCGGAAAAGATGCTTGAGGAGTTCCTCGGCTCCATAGGATTAAGTAAAACAGACTTAGAAATCATTCATTAAATTTGATATGCAGCTAGTCTACCAACACAAAACATGTAGTCGCTACTAACAGCCTTTTCCATATAAGTACAGCCTAAAAAGAGTAACAAAGCAAGAGCTGCAGATGGATTGCTAGCAAAGGCTACGCCGTTAGGATATTTTTCACAAGTGGTGAACATGCTTCGTGAACGCTACACTACCTCGCCTGCTGACTCCAAAAGAATTGCTAAAATTTGTGATAAAATGGGTAGTCACATCGAGGAACGCGACCTGCGTGCAAACGTCCAAACCAACGATGCTCCTGGCTGTACAGTGAACGATTTGAGTGTATTAGTGGAATACTTAGTTACAAATGCCGACACATCTACAGGACTAAAGTCCGTACATGATGTAGCGCTGTTGACTATGATGTGGCACATCTTTGGAAGAGCTGTGGATACATGTTTTGTGCGATAGCAGCAGCTCTCAATTGCAGCATCTGGGGAGCTATTTCTACATATCACTCGAATTAAAACTTCAGTAGTACAAGGCGTGTCGATTTACAAGGCCCCAAATAGGTGGCAGTAATGCATGCTTCATGCATTTGGGCTGCTATTTATCTGTTATGACGAACTTTCTGAGTACTTGTTCCCGCTGGCTCCACGTTTTGCTGAATCCGAGATTTCAGGAAACCAACCGTATTTACAAGAGGAGGCTGTTCTTTATTGGAATAAACTGCTAGAAAAAGAGCACGATGGCTGCGAACCACCGCAAAAAAGGAAAAGAAAGATACCAAACATAGCTAGTTACATTACCGAGGTCATTAAAGACGTCTTGAAGGTTATGCCTCCAGCCCTCAGCGCTACCGTGACACCTAACATGACCAGTCATTCAATCCGGCGAGGAGCCGTCCAGTGGATCTCCACACGTGGAGCATGGCTGCTAGAATCTCTCACCAAAGCGTTTGCTTACATCGGAACGATCACAAAAGAAGATCAGAGCGAAGCAAAGGTGTTAGTAGGATACCCAGCACCAGAAGTTCCAGTTGCAACTCCAACGATCCGTGATTTGAAAGATCGGTTTCTGCTATTGAGTATGGCCAAGTAGTCACCTTTCGCGACTAGCTCTATCGACATGTCCTTGGCTTTCATTTCAACGTGTCCTTGGGCGTTGTTGACGCCACGTTTGCTTCGTTCTTGATGCACTTGGAAACTGTTCAGTCGGCGACTGAAAGCGCCAGAACCTCCGCATTCGTGTCGCGCTACTTGTACGAGCAACAGCGAGGAATCACTGCGACGAACTCAGGTCACAGCTGTGCCATCTATGTGAAGACATGCTGCGAGTGGGGAGCCTACCTGCGCACACACTGGCAAACGGTAAACCATGCCCAACTTGGTCACGCTGTTGCTGGTCACGATACCTTGCTGGCTTCGACGCAGGAGAACACGCTTGATCAGCTCCTAAGCATAAGCGAATGGTTTGGGAGGATTGAGGACGCCCAAGCCAAGCTACAGTCCCCAGCACCAAGCGATGCCATTGCGCCTGAGCGCTTGCCGCAGCCCAATATGGAAGTAGTATCTGCCGCCCCACCACCTGTAACAGCCACCACGCTTGCTGGTTGTCTTCAAAACTGGTATACAAATCACATCTGGCAAACAGTGAAGGGTAAAAAGGAACATAACCAACGTGCAGAAGCTAAAGCAGCAGTAAATATCATGATGGGACTGTACCAGCAACCGCTCGACATTCCTGAGGAGCCAGCACGATCCGATTCCACGGCGTACCAGGCGTGAAAGCGCTCAATTTGGGATCTAGCCCTCAAAATGGACTCCGTAGCCAACCAGCGCCATCATACGTTCGATGACAAGAAGCCCACACGGAAGGCATCATCTCAACGGAAGAGGTGGAGACAGCTACGAGCGTCAAACCCCGACACATGTCATTCGCTTGCATCCCAATCGTTGTCTTGAAATCGAGTGGCTCCATTGTCGACGCGTGTACACCTAAAAGCACTTGTGGACAGCTCAAGACCTTGCGCAGCACGCAAACAGCCGACCCTTTGCAATCTGTCGTGCAGCACCTGGTACGCAGGGTTTGCTACACGACATATGATACAGAGTTTCACGTCAGCCCCTGCAGACCAGCACAAACCACACATCCCACACAACATGTCAAAAATGTGAGTTTGCCCCCGGCTGGATTCGAACCAGCGGCCTGAAGACGCTGTCTCCTGCTCTACCACTGAGCTACGGGGGCGCGAGGATAAATAGAGTCCGTGTGCAGCGAGAGATAGAGAAGTGAAGCGCGCAAACCGTTATCTGGAGGCTGGAGGCTTGTGGAGTCGACTCAAAAATTGCTGAATGAAAACCCGGAATTGACTGTCGCACGCAGGAGCCACTGATTTGCGTGCAATTCATTTAATTGCATTATGAACCTATCCGCTGCCATCCGGAATTAATAGGACGCTTAAGAATTGTTCATTACCCGAATTCCTCAATCTTAACCGGGTCCACATACAAGACAAAGTCAAACGGCCTCATGTCTCGTCAGACTGCTCAAGGGAGTCAAGCTGCACGCGATCACGTCGAAAGAATCCTCTCAGAGCTTCACGAACGCAATATTGAGCGCGAGCTAGACATCATCCAGTACTCAAATGTGGCCCCGCACGAGATCGACGATGAGTCAACTGACACGCCACTGATGGATCCTTTTAGGGAACTAGGAGGCTCAAGTGCTATCAAGGATATGACCAATTTCTCGCTACAAGAATTCAACACACTTTGGCTCTCTCTCCGTGAACATGTCCTCGCTAACTACAACGTTGGGCGAGGAAAGCGATCCGACGTCAAGCTGAAGGATGCATTCTTCATGACGCTCGTGATGCTTAAGGAGGATAGAACTTGGGACAGCAACGACAAGCGGTTCAAACTGACAACAACAACTTTCACTGACGTCGTCACTAAGTTCATCAAGATGTTGTCTCCGAGGGTATATAAAAATAGTAGAGGAGCGCTGTGACGAAGCTACTATGCGCAACGCACGTACCCGAGGCACGACCTTTTCACACTTCCCCAGTGCGTTGTTCGCAGTGGGTCATACGTTCCAACAAAGCTGGCGACCTGGTGGCAGTATTGCCGAAAATGGCAAGTTCTACAGCGGCAAGCATGGGCTGTACGGCCTGAAAGTTGAGGTATCGGTTGATAAACGTGGGTTTGCCATCAACTGCTCACAGCACGCGCCTGGGGCTACGCACGACATCACAATTTCAAGGGCAACAAGGAATTCCACAATGTTAAAATGAAAAAGCTTCCAGGCGACGAGATGCTACCAGACGACTGCCCTCTTGCTGAGTTTTTTTTTCCTGCTGAGTGGGCTATTCTAGCCGACACAGGATACCAAGGAATTAGCTCCTTCCTGCGCGGCATCCTTCCCAAAAAGGGCCGAAACATCAGTCGCGCGGATCTGTCCCACAACGATAAAGTTGCTCATGACCGTGTGATCGTCGAAAACTTCTTTGGGCGGCTCAACCAACTCTGGAGAATCACGTCCGACAAGTTACGCCTTGGACGAGACCTGTACGATGACAAATTTCGTCTGTGCCTCGGTCTTACAAATGTCCACGTCTCCCACTGCCCTCTTCGACAGGATAATGGAGATTGGTACAGTCGATCTCAAAACAAGCTGATTCAGCTTGGTCAACTGCTTAAACAAAAACGTCGACTAGCTCAAGAGAAATACAGAGCGAAGAAAAGACGTCTTTTGTCCAGTACGCTTGCAGATTTGGGCGGGGAAGCAGACGCAAGCGAAGACGCCATGACTCAGCTACCAAGCCAAAGAGTACTGAGTGAGGGTTAGCGTCTCTGAGATGCAACGGTTTTGCCGAGCGACTCTGAAATTATTTTTATAATGTGTTTAACATGGAAGATTTAAAAACTCGGGGAAAGCGTGATATACTCGCGAATAAATACTTCGTCGGCAAAAGATGCAATCTCCCATGCGCAACCGTCTCGAAAGCCAGGAATACCAGTTTTTCGGTAAAGATCATATGTTTACCTTGTTGCAAACCAACTAGCTAAGCGACCTAATAATCTTTTCTTGATTGGCTATTGCGTTGTTAAGTCGTTACGTATGGTTTTGTTCCGTACTGCTGTCCGGAATCTGCCAATTACTGCAGGGATGAAACATACGCGGGGTAAATCGTCCATTAGAGTTTAGCACAAACTATTAATAGAAGTACTACAATATACAACTTGGTATCAGGAAGAAAACACACGAGCAGGGGTTAATAGCATTCTGAACAATATTACTTTGAAGTACTACTACTACTACTATTATTGAACAACTACTACTATTACTATCATGTTGTATGGTATTCGATATGAGTAATAGAACCATTGGGTCTAGGCACTACTATAGTACTTTGAAGTAATACTATTTTATTACTATTTCAGAACCTTGATTTGGCAAGCTGGCTAACCCTTATTCAGCAATTGTCAAGTGATTGGCTCTCGTCCAACAGTGCGGGAGATCGCCATTCGTCGAGGATCGCCATTCTTCCAGTGCAAAGCACCAGTATGGGCTGCGCCG